CCCCCTGCAAAGAATAAACGTTGCAAGACACTTGTCAGAGGTAGAGGAAGAATGGGAAGGGGGAGAGGAAGGGGCAGAGGAAGTAGCAGGGGTACACAACCGGAATCAGAAGGCGAAGAATCTGAGGTTGCATACTTTGTCTGGCAACCTGAAGGAGTTAATGGTGACAACCTTGAAAGGAAAGCATCTTTTCTTTCATCGTCCACTCTAAAAGCGAGCCTTCTTTGGAAATTTATGAATATGCCCCGAGAGAAAAGGCTATGGAAGTCTCATTTGAATGCAACTAGAGATTCAAAGTTTTTTGAAACTATTTTGGAGGGCGGAAAATGGCTCACAGATGAGGTAAGGCCCCATTAAATAGGTTACGGGTCACACAGGTCATCTCTAACATGTTTTTGTTTTTCTTTGACAGCATATAGAAGAGGCAATGTGTGCATTTCGGTGCAACTATCCGAAGTACTCCAGTAAAACTGTGATCTCTAACTGTTGCATATGTGATCTACACTTCTCGGAGACCATCATGCGGTGGGAAGAGAGTGGGGACCTGTCCATCGATACACTTTTGATCGAATAATTGATCAAGTGCGAAAGAGTCTCGGTGCGAAACCAAAGACAAAATGGCATTGCCCGGGGTTTATAATCCCTCTGATGGTAAGTTATTTATTAAATTACGAGGAAATTATTTGAAAGTTGGATTGATTTGATTAGCTTTTTTATGTTGCAGTTGCTGCCTTTTGAGTGCATTGAAAGCTTGAGTGCCAACGAGTGGTACACAGATGTTTCAGGTGCAGACCCAAGCTGTCCTAGAATGTGCAAGAGGGTAATCAAACCCGGGCTTAGATGGACCTTCCCTGCTGTAATGGAAGAAATGAATCACAGGTACGGGTCACGGGTCACGGGTCACGGGTCACGGGTCACATGGGTCACGGGTCACATGGATCACATGGGTCAAAAGTAACATTTTTTTTTGTTTCAGGGTATTAAAAGTATTCTACTGGTGGAAAAGGATGAAGAAGCACTTCTGTATGATCTGGAGGATTACAAGGGAAGTAGTGATCCAAAGATCAGTGTATGGATGCAACATTTGCAGTTGAATCCGCAAAGCATCTGTTGGGATAGCATCCGTGAGCTTGATGCCAGATGCAGAGGTTCTTTGAAAAAGGGAAAAACTAAGATAGTTGAAGAAGATGATGATGAAGAAGTAGAAGAAGAACAAGAAGAAAATCAAGAAGAAGAGACTCGGGTTGAGGGTGAACCTCCAAGAATGCGAGGATCGACAGTTTCAAGAGTGGATGCATTAGAGAAGTTCATTAAGCAGGAGATCAAAGCATCCGAGGCCAGGATCATTGATCACATGGGTCAAGCGATCCAAGCATCTGAGACGAGGTTAATTGCTTGTGTGAAAGATATTCTGAAACAGTCTGGTCATTTCTCTGTGAACTATTCGTATAGAG